CTGGCCTTGAACTCACAGAGACCCGCCTGGCTCTGCCTCCCAGGTACTGGGAATAAAGGCGTGCGCCGCCGCCGCCGCCGCCGCCGCCGCCGCCGCCGCCGCCGCCGCCGCCGCCGCCGCCGCCGCCACCACCACCCAGCTAGTTTCACAGAATTCTGTAGCATTCTGAGTGGTGCTAGGTTTGGTCAAGAGTCTCTCCTTGTGCCTCCTGCTTCAGTCTGCAAAGCCTTCCCAGGTCCCGAGTAACTCACTGTTCCTGGACCAGTGATGCAGTAGATGAAAATGGGGTGGGGGCAATGCTTGTTCCTTATGCCCAGGATGGAAAAGGACCCTATGTTGGCTCCTTGGAGTGGTCTCGTCTTCCCCTTTTGTCATGGGGACCACACATGACAACTGCTTTGGTTTCTATAGAAACAGATCTGTTTCCTAGGCAAGGGAGCTGGGAGGACTGGTCTCAAGACCCCTTTCCTATTGGTTCCTTATTTCAAGAAGGGAGAGGAAAACATTTCTTCTGGTTTCCAGGAAAAGAGGGAGCAGAGTCAGCCTGTAGGATTCTAAGATGCCCTGGTTTCTCTTATAGCTGCCATGGGGTGCAGGGATGCTTGCCCATCTTGTGTTCTCTAACTTGGTCCTCCACATGCCCTTTGAGCTCTTCTCCAGGGGTGTATTTACTGGCTGTCCAGACTGAGGACTCACCGAGTTCCGGTGTTCTGTAGGGAACAGGACTATAAATCTCTAAGAAAAGAGTTAAATCCTCTTATCCCTCCTATCTTGGAGGAGGTGTAGCTGTTTCTATGTAATCCCTGTGTCTGTGACTTTGGCCACCTCTTTTTCCTGCTCCTTTTTGACTGGGTTCCCCTTGAGCAGGATGCTTGTCTCGGCAAGGCGTTGGGGAACTCGAGGCTGGCTGTGTGGGATGTCCACAGGTTGTGGCCCCAGGTCTGTTCTTGCTTGTACAATCATCATGAGGATTGGTGGCTACGTAATTATGCCATTTGCTTAGAATATTAAAAGAAAATGAGCGAATATTGCTCATTGCTATACAGGTCACCAACACCATCTCTCCACTTTCTCACTTCCTGTGCTGACTACTCAAGTGGCATCCTCATTGTATGTCAGGGACACTGGGAGAGGAAGGAAGTTGAAAGAGTAGCTGGAAAGGTCTTTGGAAGGGAAGATCCCTCCTTTCTCTCCCTGGCTATTTCTAGCCTCTTACTGTAAGACTCGTGATTACCCCATGCCTCGGCACACAGTTTGATGAGATAGTAAACACCCCCTCCCCATTTTCTATTGAGAAAGTGAATCTGAAACAGTGTGCTGTGACGGTACTAATTGTCAACCTGACAGCTATTAGAACCCCTGGGGTAATGGGCCTCTGCTCATGCCTGTGGAGATTATCTTGATTGAGTGATGAGGGGAGACTCGTCTTGGTCATGAGCAGGACAGTTCCCTGGGCAGAGGATCCTGGACTACAAGCAATGGAGGAAGGAGGTGCTCTGAGCACTCGTTCCCATTCATCCACTGTCTGCCCCTTGACTGTGGATGCAGCAGCAGGACCCACTGCTTCAAGCCTTGTGGTCTTACCTTCCCCTTCTGTTGTGGGCTGGACCTTGAGCTGTGGTCCAGAATAAACCCTTCTCTAGAGAGTTGCCTTTATCAGAGTGTTTTAACCCTTATCTCAGTACCTCTCTCATAATAAGTATTTAAAACGTGCAATCACGAAGCACCTATTTTGTATTTATATTAAATGTAACTTCTTGGTGTTCTTGACAATTCAAAAGATAGACTTGTTTGGGTTAAACTCTGTTTTAAACAAAGGACATTGGCTGTACATCATTACCATCACCATCACCATCATCACCATCTTCATTACTATTGGCATCAGAAAAATTTTGAATTATTTTATAGGAAGGTCATCTTTGACTTACTTTTACCATTGATTTTTTCTTGGTTTTAGGCTTTACTAATCATGTTTTCTTCCACTTTCTTCCAAGTATCTCACTTTCCTTTTCATTTCCACAATCTGTCTCCTGGGAAGCACAAATCATTTCATTGATCAGCTCAGAATACTGTCTTAATGACCCCACAGGGCTCCGTTCTTCTTCCCCTTTACAGCGAGGATCTCCACGAGTCTGGTTTAGATGACCCAATTTAAAGGAACTGCTGAGAAGTCCTCAGTGGCTTCCCATTTGCCTTCAGGATAAAAATCCAAATACAAGATTTTCTTCCCCATCACCTGACTCCAGCTGACCCTTACCATTCCCTTACTCATCTTCCTTATAAACTGTGCAGTGGGGTGACCTGGATACATTGCTGTCAGGCCCTGAGAACTCTCCTGTAAAAGCCATGTCATCTTGTTTTAGGTCAGAAAGGATACCAGCCTATGGTAGCTTGGCTCACTGGTGGGTATCCTCCAAAACTGGGTGTAATACGAATCTTAAAAGGTCTTCTTAATAAAAATAAACCAGAAGCCAGGTATTGAGGTGAATGCTGGAAGATCAGAGAAGCAGAACAAGCCACAGCTACCTCACCTCGCCAATTCCTCAGCTGATCCTGTTTCTTCAGACTGGAAGCCTCTGCGTCCTCATTCAGAATGAATCTCAGCTGAACTGCTGCTAAAAGCCTAAAAACTTAACTGACTCTAGTTCCTGGTTTTCTTGTACCTTTCTGCTTCCTGCCATCACTTCCTGGGATTAAAGGCATGTGTCACCATGCCTGGCTGTTTCCAGTGTGGCTTTGAATGGATGGATCTCTGCCTCCTGAATGTTAGGATTAAAGGCATGTGTGCCACCACGTTCTGGCCTCTATGTGTATGTAGCGGCTGTTCTGTTCTCTGACCCCAGATAAGTTTATTAGGGTGCACAATATATTGGGGAACACAATATCACTACAGCTGGGCATCTACAGTGCTGCTGTTTCAGGACTGGGAGGAGAATATTTTCACTTTCCAATGACCTAAGACTTATGTGAACTAGTATGCATAGCAGCATTTATTTCAACCCTGAAGAGGAGCAGCCTTCAGCTTTCTGGAGAGTATGAGGCCTGTGCTTGGAATCAGCTCAGCCGGGGAGGCCACCTCTGGACCATATTCTCTGGAGTCCAGCACATAGGTGCTCACTTGGACTTCAAGATGTTTCTACAGCTATACTTGTAGTTAAAGATGTTGAGAGCATTGTATAATGTATTGTTTAGTATTTTCTTCATGAGTACCTACAAAACACGTTTTCCTCTTATCTTGGACTAGGAATCATTGGAATTCCAGCAAACTGTGAATTCTGTATCTTCCTGTGTGTTCACCTTTGAGTTAGTGCCCCATCACCCAGTTATGTTGAGAGTTACCTATAGCAGATATTTCAACATGCAATGGTGTGGTGGTTTCATTCTGGGCTTTAGCTTAATGTTTTCTGTCTTTTATCCAAATCTGCTCTGATCCAGCCTGTTTTGACTTTTGTCCTCTATTTTAGGCATCAACCTTGTAGGGGTTAGGTGGAGCCTAAATTCCTTTAAGCACATATAAGTAAATTGATAGCTAAGAAACTAAGTATTTGAGTGAAGAAACATAACTCAAAGTTATTTCTCAATGTTGTAGTTTAAGGAAATGCACAGAAGAAAGCTTCATTTTCCTAGGTTGGAGCCTTTCTTCCCAGTAGCTTAAATAATGACAGAAGATTGGAGGGAAACACCTTTTTCAAGAAAAGCAAATATGAAAACGGCTTATAGACCAGGATGACCAAACAATCAATGATCTGATCTCTTATACACATCGTCACTCTTTCATTTGGCATTGGAGATCAGGTTAGGCCTTAAAATTAAGGCCTATGTGAGGTCATGTTGTAATGACATTCTCTGCACCATTTAATTATAAATGTTACTAGCTCTGTGCGGTTTCATTGCGACTAGAAGCAAGTTTTTATTTTAATATTTGCGTACTTCTTATTTTTTATTTATTTTGTCCAAAAGGAATATTTATAATTTAAATGAATCCTTCTTCAACCCAAAGTAATTGCAAAAGAAATTTTTAAATCAACAAGGCATACACATGCCTAAAATGGGGGAGATAACCGAAATTTCTGAGTTCTCTTAGAAAACAGAAAAAGTTGTTACAGAGTTAAGTGTGCCAGAAACACAAGAAATTACACTCTGCCCCCTCACCAACCATACATGGTGCCAACAGAAACTGCTAGACAAACTAGTGAAATGTGGGGATTTATTGGCAAAAAGACACCTGAGATGTGGGCACAGAGCTTGCTAGTGAGAGAGATGATTCCCATCCAAATGCCATTTACAGTCTGACTACTCCATATTGCCCTCAGTGGCAGAAGATGATCATAGCTGGGGCCGAAGGTATAAACCTCCCAATTAGTGATTTGATTGGCACAGAACTGAGACACGGTGACACTGTGGTAAGAATTCTAAGAAATGGGTACTGAAGAGCCAGGGGAAGAGTGCTTACCTAGTGTGTGCAAGGTCCCATGTTCGATTGCCCGGTTCCAAAAAAATAATGAGAAGAAACACACTCTGGGAAAGTATGGCACTTATATCCAGCTACTGGTATTTTGTCATGCATTTGGCTGATACAATTTTATTACACACCTAGTATTGAATTAACTATTTCATTAACTAATTCAATTGAATTAACAATTTATACTATGAGTTGATTTTATCAACGTGTGTGTGTGTGTGTGTGTGTGTGTGTGTGTGTGTGTGTGTGTGTGTGTGTAACATAAGCAGATGAGGAATTATCTATGACCTGCATGAGGTTTTATTTTTTTATTTATTTATTATTATTATTTTTTTTTTTTTGGTTTTTTCGAGACAGGGTTTCTCTGTGTAGTTTTGCGCCTTTCCTGGAACTCACTTTGTAGACCAGGCTGGCCTCAAACTCACAGAGATCCGCCTGGCTCTGCCTCCCAAGTGCTGGGATTAAAGGCGTGCGCTACCACCACCCAGCCCCTGCATGAGGTTTTATGTGGGTTTTAATTGTCTTTTTTTCCCCACAGTGTGTGGACAATATACGATGTAATGGTTTAATGACTATAGTCTTTGAAGAGAATTCCAAAGTTACTGTGCCACATATGATTAAGTAAGTATGGTGACCCTCCTCCTTCCTTTTCAATCAAGGTCAGATTGACAGAGATGAGAAACCTCGAGTAGAATATAGTCAGTAGGATTCTGCTTCTTCTGGAGAGGGGCCATCTTGTCAGTCGTGGAGTAATTAATGTTAAATCATAGCTAACAATAACTGATATCAAAATGCTTTTTCAGATTTACAGCCTGTTGGCAGATAGCATTGAGATTTGTTTTCATATGGTTAACATATACCCTTACCCAGGACAAAAAGCCTGTCAAGATGTTCAAGTTCAATATTAAAAACTGCTTAAGGTCAGGGGGTGGATGAAGGTGTGGCTGACTTATTTGGCATCATACCAGTGAGTATGAATCCTCTCCCTCGGCTTTGGCTGTAGAGCCAGGTTTAGGCATTAAACACACCTGATGGGCATCAGCTGGCATGAATATGGCACTACCTGCTCACTGCATGTGTCTGGCTTTGCTCAGAGGCCATTGGCTCCAGCTGCTAGCTTGTCCATATTTCAACAAAGCAAGCCCTGCAGCTCAAGTGGATCACTAGGAGGCTGCAGTTTAGAATGAGGAACTCTCTCAAGAGCTACCAGTTACGCATGCTAGAGCTCGCTGTATCAGTGGTCTGTGTACTGCTTCATTTTCAAATGCAGAAACTAGGGAAGAAATTGTTCCTTGTCCTCGTTTTATTTTTGGTTATTTGTGTTCCACATCGTTTTCATGTTTTAATTGTATGTGAATGGGTGTCTGTCTGCACGTATGTCTGTGCACCATGTGCATGCAGTGCACTTGGAGGCCAGGAGAGGGGGGACAGCTCCCCTGGGACTGGAGTTACAGATGCTTGTGAGCCACCATGTGGATGTTGGAAATGAACCCAGGTCAGTGCTCTTAACCACTGAGTAATCTCTCCAGTCCCTTGCATTCCACATTTTAAGAGTAGAATGTCTTCTTTAAAAACAACTTGGTTGTATATTTTTAAGTTATTTAGAAATGAGAACATTTCTTCCATGCTTTCCTGTAGGGATATTTCCAGGTCTGAGCTGCCATACTGAGACAAACTACAATGTTACCTATAGAAGGATGATCTTGCCCTTCAGAGACATGTTAGCATGGCCCCAGTGTACAAGAACCGCTACAGACCTGGTTATCACATTACATGAAGGCAGAGAATGAAATACTAGAAAAAAAAACATTTAAATAAAATAAAGTTTGCAAATAGCATCATAAATGTTAGTTTTAAAAATATTTTTGGGGAGGGCTGTTTTTAGACTCAATGGCAAAGATTCTGTTTACATTGAATTTCTTAGTTTTTTTTTACTGAGAAATTTCTTTTTGAATTAATGAAAATATCTGAATATTCAGAGCAAGTATAGATAGAATATTAAGTCAGGTTTAAATTCTGTCTTATTTCTTGAATAGAATTTTCTTATTAATTTTTATGATAGGACTCTGATTTCACAAATATATCTATTTGAAAGTCCATGTTGCTTTAGAGTCGTAATGGTAAGTCAGACATTGTTGGTAAGTTCAAAGCCCATGGAGCCCAAGGCAACTGCATATCTACCCTGTACACATTGTGTTGACTTCCAAAGTTAATGGAAACCTCAGGTGTGTATCTGTCCCTCATGGCTGGTGATGCATGCATTTACTGTCCGCTACCATGACAGTGACACTGTCCATTCTCATTAGCATAACCACTTTCATACAGACCAAACCTTTCTGCCTTTGAATTCACAGAAGTGACACTTAAGGGAGCAGGGCCTGCTGACCTGCCAGGGCTTCCACGCCACACTTGGTACAGTCCTGAGGCACAGGGAAGGGTCATACCTTGGTTTGCCCCTTCAAATTTGCCCAGCCTCATTGGTTCTCTAAAACTAGAGGAAAACATACCTTAAGGCCTGTATTTCTGCTTCCCTGTGCATCTGTCTCCATGGCTACATGCCATTGGAGAGGCAGGGGGAAATCAACGTTTCTCCAGAGTTAAAACATTTTAACATAATCACATTTGTTACTGGCATGACATCACTTCATAAACACTCACTTCCTTTTAAAACTCATCGATTATAACGGGTGATTTGGCTTTGATCTCTCAAGATTGCTTTTTATGTGTTTACCAAAAAGGAATTGCTAATGCCATTGGAGGCTTAAGTAACACATTGTGGCTTTCTTGAGAGTCCCTCGGGAAATCATGGAAGGCCTACCCTGTGTCATAAAAGAAAATTAAGTAATTTCATAATATTTAATTTCTTTTCTGAAAATGAAAATATAATCACAAAATTGAAGGACAGCGGTGTAATTAGTTTAACTTCATCTCGTGCTGGCTGCAACACGTTCTTCCCTCCTAGAGTCTTGAGCAAACTAATCATAGTGAAAAAGATGCAAAGCTCAAAACTAGTTAGAATGCAAAATAGTGACAGCCATTCCATGAAATAGTCCTTTAAATGGTATATAGACCTAGGCTTTCTTTTAATAATATTTGACCTTGACTTTCTTAGATGATGGAGATTTTGATGGGGAAAAAAGTGAGAGGAAAAAAAAAAGACTTTTATTCAACCATTTCAGGACAGACTGATTAATTCATAAGAGTCACCCAGGTCTTTTGACAAATGAGAACTCAAGAGCCAGAAAACTACTGCTAGCTGAGGATCATGCAGTACATGGATAAAGAGCCGTGCTGTTTTTTACAAAAAAGAAACCTTCAAAGACCCACTAGTATATTTTCAAAATCGATAACGTGAATAACATCAACAGGCTGCCCTTGGCCAGGTCCTCTGCGGAGGTAGGCTAGCCATTTAAAATGCTCTTAAATGCTGCAGATGAAGTGCTTTTACCTGCACCATGCATACTTTGTGCCAGAGCGAGCTAAGAAAGCTATCGATTCTTGCTTATCTCAAAGAAAATAAATATATAATTTAAAATTCTTCAAAGTGTTAAAAGGCCTAAGTAGGAACTCTTATAACAAAGCCAGCTGGTTCTTAGCAAGAGAAGTTAGAGCTCACAAAGTCACAGGCCCTGCACATGTCCTTTAACAAAGCAGTGAGAGCCAGGAATGACAGTTGTCTATTCTGATGCTGTCCTGAATAGGAACAGAGTTCGTTAGGATGCAAAGGCTAAAGGCATTCCAATGGCCCTCGGACAGAGGCTGCCAGAGAATGGCCTCCTGCTGAAGTCAGGGGCAGCAGATGGAAGAAGGTTTTGTAGAAACACAGTCAGTACTAGATGCTGTCCAGCGGAATATTACCAAGTATTACTATTTTTTTTTTTAGGGATTCATTTCCTATAGTGCAGAATATTGAAAACAATGCAAATTAAGCATCCCATTTTATAAGTTAAATTGTGTTAAAATTTTTAAGCCTATTAATAAGCCAGAAAGAATAAAATAAATCAATTATGCATTCAATTCAAGAAGTTAGGAAGAGAGGGCCCAGCAGGATGGCATTGGCATCTGCAGCCCATTGACCTGAGTTTGACCTCTGGAGACCCACATGGTGGAAGGAGAGAACTGATTCCTACAGATGTCCTCTGATCTCCACATGCATCTCCTCAGATAAATGAATATAAAAAAATAAACAAGAGGAAAAATAAAAAAGAAAGTAAAACAAGAGGAAAATGGTGAAAGAAAAAGGATGAGAAATTATATGTAGGAAAATATTGGAAGGGCATAGTAAGTTAATATGGAAGGCAGCATAATTGATGAATCCAAGAGCTGGTTCTAAAAGGTGAAATAGTAAGTTATATCTCGTATACTGGTATTACATATTTATAATACACCATCTCCTAGTTACACATCGCAGATAGCCATGCCCTGGGGCTCGTCACCACTCTGTTTTAAACACACATCTGGCCTTTTGCTTTAAGCACATGAGAAATGTTTTCTCTTTCTACTAAAAGAGACTCTGGTATCATCATTCTACTAAAGCATGTTGACCTAGAGCAAGAAGGAATCCACGCAGTAAAATCACATGTCATTACAACCTCCATAATTCGTTCTAGCCTCCCCAAATTAGAATGTCATGGTGGCACATAATGTTCCCAAACGCATCTGTGGCATGTCTTACCGCCTGCACATTGCTCTGTCGTCTGTGGAAAACACTGGAAGCCTCACACGAGTGTGTGCGGACGGACCGACGGATGGACGCCGCAGCGCTCAGTGGCTGAGGTGGAAGCTCCGGCAGCTTTGCTCACATGTTCCCGCTTTGCATGTAGGTCTGATGCCCGTCTTCATAAAGACGACACTGACATCTGTTTCAGTAAAACGCTCAATTCCTGCAAAGTGCCCCAGATCCGCTACGCCAGCGTGGAGCGCCTCCTGGAGCGGTTGACAGACCTGCGGTTTCTGAGCATTGACTTCCTCAACACCTTCCTGCACACCTATCGCATTTTCACCACGGCCACCGTGGTGCTGGCCAAGCTCTCAGACATCTACAAGAGGCCTTTCACCTCCATCCCGGTCAGGTACTCCAGCCTTGCCGAGGACAGTCCTACTCTCAATGAGGGCCCTAAGCTACTGACTCACCTTTGACCTTCTTCCATCAGCGGAAGTGATAAATGAAAGTTTCAGAGTTCCCCAGGGAAGAAGACATGGGAGAAAGCCTGAGGTCTCCAAGTGACGTTTAATTACTCTATGATTATTTGGAAGCTGGCTCATTATTTTAGCATCATCATCATTATTTATTATTATTGTTGCTATTTATGATGGTGATGATGACCCCGATGATGATATTCTTAAGCGTTAATGTACCTCTGGGTCATTAGATGTTTTGTTGACTCAGTAATTATGGACCAGACCTAAGTTTGGCATACTTAACAAGACCCACAAAGATGGAGTGCTACTGGTCTTTTAAGACTTGACCACACCTTAGTGGCAAGGAATCAGAGGGCCTGGACAATGTCTGTGTTCCCCTGGCAAGGGCATGTGCACCTGGAGCATTTAGATTAAGGACAATCCAGCAGTGGACATGAAATGCCCTCAAGACCTTCCAGTGCAGATGAGCTGAGAGTGTGTTCTTCTGTGATAGCCGAGACATGTCTTCCTTTGGCTACAATCTGTTAACCAGCCTTTGCTCTTCGTTTTAGGTCCTTAGAGTTGTTTTTTGCCACGAGCCCAAACAACAGAGGCGAACATATGGTGGATGGGAAATCCCCACGTCTATGTCGAAAGTTCTCCTCCCCTCCTCCCCTGGCTGTGTCCAGAACATCCTCTCCCGTGAGGGCCAGGAAGCTGTCCTTGACGTCTTCCTTGAACGCAAGGATCGGAGCCTTGGACCTGACCACATCATCGTGTTCTAGCAGCCCCACCACCCACAGCCCTACAGCATCCCCACCACCTCACACCGGTAAGGTACCACTGGATCCTAGCAAGGGGCCTCTCTGTTCGAGAGCCAAGTGCAGAGGCTGTAGGAGCGAACGCAGCTGGACCCCATGGGGATCTCTGTAGCAAGCCCAAAGGAAGCATGCCAAGTGTCTTCTCCAGCACATTGACACGATCACATTCCACACGCCCAGCTGCCTGATTTTCCACCATTACTTCTGGAACTCTCAGTTTTGTTTTGTTTTTGACAGTTTTCCTCCTTCTGCATGGAAAGTAGAATGGATACAGTGTCAGTTGAATAAAGAGCCTCCCTGCAGATTCTGGCCCTGGAGTAGCAGGGAGGAGCAGCAAGTTTTCCCTATTCTCTATGGTCCGAGGCTAGTTGTAGCTAGTCGTCCACAGAGGACTGGAGCATGAAGATCATATTACCGGAAAGCTCTTGGATTTGGGGAAAGGCTGATTATCTAAAGAGTCTGCCATGATACTTTGTATAAAAGATAAGCCTTGGGTATAAAGATAACCCTTATCTAAGCACATGGGCTCAGGGGTTCCTCCTTCTCCGTTGTCTGCACGAAGGACCTGTCCCTCCCAACCTTTTCCTCCTGAGTGTGGCCTAACCCGGAAGCACTAAGAGAGTTGAAGATCTTGGTCAGGGTGGAAGGGCCATTTCAGGTCACACTAAAGGTGCAGTGAGACAGAGCAAAGCAGAAACAGTGTTGATTTTCTATGATGCAGCCAAATTTTGTTGATTTTAAGCTAGGGTTCTACTTTGTAGCCCAGGCTGTTCTTCTCAAATTCATAGTAATCCTTCTACCTTAAACTTTCTAAGGGCTGGGATTATGGGCGTGAACTCACCATGTATGGCCGCAAAATGGTTTTTTGAGTGTGAAGTATGTCATATGAATTCCATTATACCTTCTGCAGTAGCTTCCCATTGCATGTAGAATGAAATACATTTCTCCTTCTAAGGTTTGCAGATCCTACAAGACTTGCTGCTGATTTACAACCCATGCTCTTCACATTCCCTCATCTACTGGGGCATCATCACAATGATTTCCTCTTGGTGTCTTTGAAATCCCTTGGTTGGTCCTTGGATAGGACTTTTGTAATGTCTTTACCTGTGCAAAATCCATGAGATTGATGGCCTTGCCTAGCTTTTTCCCCTCAGTATCTTCCATGCCTTGGCTGGGAAGTAAAGGTTGCTGAAGGGAAGGGATGGAGAGAATCAATCAGGGAACTGTGTCCTCCGGTATAATAGCTGATGTTGACTATCAGCTTGATGGGATCTAAACTCACCTCTGGAGATGCCTTTGAGCAGTTTATAGACTGGGCTAAATGAGATGGGAACACCACCCTAACTGTGGGGAACACCACCCCAAGGGGTGGGGTCCCAGACTGAATAAAAAGGAGAGGTGAGCAGAGGGCCAGCATTCTCCCTCTCTGTTTCCTGACTGTGGACACAAAGTGAGGGGCTCTGTCACATCACCTTCCTATTGCCACAACTTCCCTTCCTCCATGGACTGTAGCCTAGAACCGTGAGCTGAAATAAACCCTCTCTTTCTTGGGCTGCTTCCATCAGGCATTTCGTCACAGCAATAGGAGGAGCAGCTGATACAACCAGAGCACTGCCTCATCTTCCTCGGGGCTACACACTGCAGGGCTCCAAACGCAGCCTCTTATTATTTTTAAAATCCAGTGTTATCACGAAGAATATAAGCAGGTCTCACAGCTGCATTAGCAACGAGCTTCTCTCCTTATATGTAACTGACTTATTTATTGATGATAACATAAAAATCAGGCAATAAATCAGACAGTGCCTAGATTTCAAGGAGGGTCACCCAGATGGAGGCCCAAACCCTTGCTTTATGGTTCACTGGAAGCATCTATGTGCTCCCTCGGATCATTTGAATAAGCTTGCTGGTGAAGTACTTAATGGAATTTTAACTGGAGTGCTTGTCATCATCCAAAGTGGCATCTCTCTCTTTTTTTTTTCCAAGAAATTCTTTAAATTGACAAGTGAGCAATTAAGAAGGGAAAAAGGGAGGAAGATAATTAAAAAGTCATTAAAACAACAGGCTTGGCAAAATCATGATGAATTCTTGGAAATAATGAGGCAACGACTAGCTGATAGATGTAACCGGGGCTCTACCCAGTACCACTGTCTGCTCACCTCCATGGAGGGAGTGACGTGGGCTTATCTTAACTTTCCCTGGGGCCACAGTGGCCTGGGTGGTCAGCAGATTCCCAGGGTATGGTGGGTTCTTTCCTGACTACAGTGAATAGGAGGAGAAGTCTGTATGCTCATGTTCTTTGGAATCAGGAGCACTTCAGGAGCAAGGATTTCAGTGTCAGCTCCTCATGGCTCCCAGAGCATCCTTTGGTTGATCTCAGAGCTGGAATGAGGTCTGCTGCCCTATGTGTGGTCAGGCCTGCTCTGGAGGCTGAGCAGAAACCATGTGAGCTCCCATGGCTGGAACAGTGGCAGGGGGGAGACAGCATGGCACCCTTCTCTGCCTATGTGGGTAAAAGACACCACCATCACAGCAGGTGGTATAAGGGTGCAGACAAGATTGGGAAGCTGAAAACCAGGGGAGGCTGTGCCTTGCTGAGCATGATGGGCGGGGCGGGGGGGGGGGGGTGTGCCTTCCATACGAGCCAAGAGAGCCCGGTGACTTGAGGGAGGAGGCAGGCCACGTTCTGGGAAATGAGACTGTCACACCAGTGTGGGTGAGCGCACCTTGGAATGACTGTCCTTCCTGGGGACACAGCTGCTTATGAATAGCCTTCCCCTGCTTTGACACGTAAGCCCTGTAAGCAGAACTTCCGGGTTTTCCTAGGACATCCGAACACTGAGACAAATGAAAACAGAAGTCCTCCTAATGTTTTTCTTCTTCCCTTCTTTTTTACTATCACAGTGCTTTTAAGTTAAGAAAGTTGAGCAAGTCAAAAGCGTTCACCACAGATCTCTAGAACCTTTTCATCTTGGACAGGGAACTCCAGCTGTTAACCAACACCTCATCCCCATCCTCTCCCCCATCCCCAGCTTCTGGAAAGCACCATTCTAGTTTCTGTTTCTGGGAGTCTGTTGGAAGTGAAACTACATCTCTTTTGGCTTTTTGTGACTGACTTACTTCATCTTAATGGGCCTTAAGCGTCTACCATGTCACACGTCATAGGGTTTCTTTAATTTTTAAGGAAAATAATATTCCACTGTGTGCTTTTGGCATTTTCTTTGCCATTTATCCCTCAGTTGATGTCTGAGGTACTTCTCAATTTGGCTACTGTGAATAGTGCAATGGACATGAGTGCAAATATCCTGATCTCAGTTCTCCTGGGAAGCACACACAAACACTGTTTCCCATAAGTACGCACACCCACACCCACATGTGAACACACACACATACTTGAGCACACACATGCACATACAAGCACACACATATGGACACACATGAGCACACGTACCACAAGTGAGCTTGCTGGGACACATGCTAATTCCGTTTTTTAATTTTTGGAGGAATGTGCATGGTGAGTGCACACTTCACATTCCTAGGAGCACAAAAGAGTTCCATTAACGCTTGCTAGTTTTTTTATTTTATTTTGAAATAGGTTTCCTTCTAGTGGGTGCCATGTAAGAAACCTTCTTTTCTTTTTCAAAAGAATTTTCAGAAACATTTTAATTTCACTATCACCTATCAGTATGGATGTGAATGCTTCTTTGCTATCAGAACAGGACCTCTTTGTGTCTTCATGATGGTCTAAATACATTCCTTCATTCCAGTTGCTCCCACACACTGCACCCCACCCCCTGTGATTGGATGACCATATCACACTGCACCCCACCCTGTGATTGGATGATCATATCACACTGCACCCCA